CTATCTTCCCGCTTCCGCGCAAACGAGGCAAGTAAGAAAACCTTCTAGATACGGCTAAGCGGCATTGCGAATGAGAGATGAAGTGAATGATTCGAGTCATCCTGGCTATGTGCTGTCTGTTAAAGTTCTGCTTGAGGCGCTGCGCAACTAGCACTTGTCTCACACGCGGAGACTGGCTCACTACACCCTAGCAAATGTCATGGCAGCCAAAGTATAAGTAGCACCCTGCGCGCGGCTGTTGAAACGTGGTTGACAAACTTTCTACAACTATACTACTGCTTGACTGAACAAAATGGCTTCCTCAGCACCAGTGGCCGTGACTTCGGCCGTGGCTACCCTTGGCTCTTCTCAGCAAGATGGCCAAGAACCTCCCTCATCATCATTCCATCAGCACGGCACTGCCCAAGCAAACGGCAACAGTTCTACTGGTACTGCTGTCAGGACTCATAGTAGTGACCTGACCTTTGTTGGGATGTGGGCCAAAACAGAAGAACACCAGACCAACACTGAAACGAACGGAGGTAACAGTGACCTACCACCAGTTTGATTCAGAAGGTACTGACCTCTCATAGTCGAGCCTCCTGTATCCCACACGGGTTGTACGCGCCATCGCAAACTGAGCGAAGCATGCTCTCTCCCCGTCGATTCCCCCCAGGTTGTCAGGCTTCTCACAACCTCGTACGCGGTCGAATTGAGCGAAAATATACGGGAAGGAGGTGCCTGTGAATCGTCCGCTGCGGCGTGTACATGCGTCGTGGCATTCGAGGTTCACGAGGATGAAGCGGAGCCACGGAAGGCAAGGATGAACGGAGTGGTGGCGTCTGAGAAGCGGCTGAATGGGGTGAGGTAGTGTGAAGCTTCCTTTAGCACCCTTTATGCGATACAAACCATGTGTATGAGCGACATGGCACCGGAGGTTTGGTTGAGGGTAGTGCGCCGTGGGGTTAGGGACCAAAAGCTGTGCTTTGCGTTACTTGTTAGCTTGCGGTATGTTGGTAGAGAGGAACACATCTAGAATGTTTTGTGTCACACTGCCCACGCGTGGCTGCCTAGCGCTGTTGTTTTGTTGGCTGCAATGGTATTGTGGCCCCCATACGCGAGGCTGTGCCGCGTTGGGCTGTTTTGCTACGCGCTCCAGCCTTGCCCCGATCACATTGCATTGGAGCCTTCTTCTCACGTAACCCACTACATTGCTATGATGCCTATCAACATACGAAGGGCCAACACCAGTACCTTTTGCCGATCGAGATCGAGATCGTTGTCGACACTGCACGAAGATTGGCACCTACACCACTGCGCCCATCTCAACTACTCGTACAATCATCCTCGCGAGAAAGTCGTTGTTCCCGCCATGACGACTGCGCTTCACGTTGAGGGCTCGCAATTCAGTCCATAAAGAACGAGGTACCTATTACAAGATATGAAGCGCCTCACAAGTACCTATGTAGCTCGACTTCATAGCGGCTACCTGTCCCTAGTACACCCGCCCATTCCCATCTACAAACTCAGAGCTTTTATGCACCATCTGCTAACGCTCATGTATACATAGACCACTTTTGCCCCAGCCCCCGAAGTCATGCTGATGTCTCACATCTCAGCTCCGTAGTCCACAAGTCTTACGCGCTACCATTACACACGTCGAACGATAGCTACCCATCGGCACGACTACAAGCCATGCTCAGCCATAAAGTTACTAATGGCTTCTTCCAACTCCCCAATAATACACTCGCCTGTATCCGCTGATGCACTAAGAATACGTTCGCTTCTTCCGCACGCATGTATATAGACGGCCAGCACAGTTTCCAGCGCAACCGGAATCGATACCACAAAATCTACTTCATGACCGATGGGTGTGAGAGTCCAACGAACGATAAATGCGAGGTTGTCTGTTGGGTAAATGTCAGAGCGATGACCGTAGTTGGGGCTTCGATGCTTACTAGCGACTACCTCGATCTGTCGGTTCATATCCGCATCATCTTTGGTGGGAGGTCGGTGTGGCCAAAGGAGGTTAAAGATGCGTTGCTCGAGGGGCCCCATCGCGGTCTTTGGCATACTTTCTGGAAATGGATACTTTGACGGGTATCAGACGTGGATTACGATATGGGCATGGTAGCACTGGCGACACGGGCCTTTTGTCGCCACGTTATTTGCGTAGCTACCCGGAACATGTGTTTGTCGCATCGGATTGAGGAAGAAGGCCCTGGCAGTCGCAAGAAGCTGGTGCGTTACATGTCCATACAAAGGAATTGTTCAGAGGTATTTCTTTCATAAGGTCTGCCAAATACCTCCACAATCATGTCACTAGTCATGTTGCATTCGTCTCCATCAAAGGAGAGTTAGGTTTTACGAGGGTTTTAAGCGCGCTGGTGACTAGGCGTCTGAATTGAAGATGCATACATCCTCGTATAAATCCACCTTCCGCACGAAGATGTATTCTCAAAGACCTCGAGGCTGACTTCCCGCAGTCGGCCATGATGCCATATTGTGAATTGTGAGTCGCACTTCGCTGTGTGGGTCGAAAGTGGCGAGTGAGAGCATCCTAATCTCCTCGATAGATCGAAGAGAAACTTTACTGATTAGTTAGCAGACCATGGCGACAAACATAGAGCGCCTTCTTGAATGTGCTTTGTGGCATGTTTTGAATTCTTTACCCGCCGGCGTGGACGGACAATTGCGGAAGACGCTAGTCAGCTTATCGATAAGCCGCCGCACGGGCCGACTTTCACTCGATCTTTTCTTGGGTCTGGCTGTCTGGCCGCTCGTGATGCTACTCGTGCAACACGCGTATTAACCCTATCTCTGCGAACTCTCTGCGATCGATCGCAATTGATGCGACTTCTGGAACGGCTGTATTTCCCATTAAGGAAGCCTCAATTGATCCAGGTGCCGATACGCCCCCTCGCCCGGCCATACCTCTACCATCCTGCCGCGGCTATGGATCTGTCTACGGATGCCAATGAGCGTGTTCGTATGTCACCCTTTCTAATTGAACGGGTCTGGCTGACGATCATGGCAGAAGGGCTCGGTGCATCATGACACCCATGCTACCCCGCCACAATTTATTCAGAAAGAGCATTGGCGATATCAAAGTATGCGCAAAGCCGACCTTGATACCGATCCAAACATATTCGATCTTAGTAAACGCGATGAGTTCAGTGAAGAGCGCAAAGATATCTGGCGACCAGCAGGCATCATCCCAGCCGCTCAAATTGACGCTGCTTGCCAGGCGTATGCAAGGGGCAAACCACTCTCTGTACCTGCACAAGACGCACAGATCTTCGAGCATCGCGACTTCCCTGGCCTTCAAGTCATCTCTGGGCTCCTCCCACCTGAGACGCAAGTTCTTTTCACGTCATGTCTGATGCACAGAGACCTAGCAGATCCAGGCCATAAGATCAACCTCCAGGCGGACTATGATATACCATACCCCCCGAAACCAACGTCAGATGGACTGCGTTTTGATAGTTCCTTCTTCCTTCGCCAACGGTCAGATCCGGATGACTGCCTGACTCCAAAGCTTCCAGACAAGTTGAAACCTCTGAACAACGAGCAATTCTTGTACACCAAGCTTCGTTGGCTGACCCTCGGCGAACAATACGATTGGCCAACGCGTAGTTACGCGAAGCATGCGACGCCGTTTCCGGAAGATTTGACAACGCTTGTGACAGGCCTTTTCCCACATATTCGGCCTGAATCTGGCGTGGTTTTGATGTACTCGGCCAAGGATTTTATGCCTGTGCATCGCGACGTCAGCGAGCAGTGTCAACGTGCGCTAGCGAGCTTCAGCGTCGGATGCGATGGCATCTTCATCATGGCTCGAGGAGAAGATGACGGGGAAGGTGAGAACGCCCCACGAAGCGTTGCGATTCGAGTCCACAGTGGCGACGTTGTGCATCTCACTGGCAACGCTCGATGGGCTTGGCATGCGATGGCGCGTTCGATACCAAGCACATGCCCAGATTACCTTGCAAACTGGCCAGCTGGCACACCTGGTTCTACAGCTGCCGAAGAGAAGACTTACAAGAAGTGGAAGGGCTATATGGGAACCAAGCGCATTAACGTGAGTTGTCGGCAGGTCTGGGATTAATTCAACGGCAGCCAGAGGGCCGGCCCGTCTGTGGGATTCCATCGCACTGGACACGAGTGCCTTCGTGACAATCGGATCCGTACGCTCGGTGTCGTAGTTTTGCTGCCGGCGGCTGCGTAGCGCACTCCACGGTGGAGCAGCTCTCGGAGCGTTAATGAACCCAGTTTCAGCAACTTTATGCAACGTCAAACGCACCACAACTCAATTTTCCGAAAGCTTGCACATTCTGTCACAAATCTGCTCATGCATGTGCATGCTGTTCTCCACCTGAGCCCTATCTTCACGCAGCATCCCCACTTCCTTTTCCCGCGAGGTGCAGCGCTCAGCACGGGACTTGAGTTCTCCAATGCACCTCCAATGCACTCCAACGCTCTCCAATTTCTTTTTCCTTGGCCTAGGCCACCAGCTCTCTTCACGGGTTGAGGGCCGCCCCTAGCGAGTCAGCTAGCCCAGTACGGGAACCTGACGCTAGCATCTGGCCAGCCGCTATCACGGAGTTTTGGTTCGTCGGTAAGCACACTGCGCATTAGCTTTCAAAGCCACTTGGATGCTAACGAAGATTAATGCCAAAAGAAGCCAGATGAATGCATGGGGCCTTGAACACCATGCGTCAGGACCCTGGCGGTTTCTGACGTGGTACTATCTATCGGTGGACGCTGCATCCAGCCCTTGGTCGCCTCGTACTGAGGGTGTGAGTTTGTGCTGTGGGTTAGCGCTTTGCGCCCACTCTTGATTCTTATGGTTCTCATCGAGGCGCAGTCATGGATGGCTTAAAGTTTAAACCCTTCGCACGCCTCCTCGGCCCGTCTGTTTGTTAGTGTAACGTTCACCTCCGCACTTGAAGTTATCCATCCTTCTTCCATCTTGCCTTTGCATTGCGTTGTTCTTTCCGGAAGAGCTGACGTGCGACGTCATGGGGTTCCTGGCCCTCCCCCAGTTTCGTTACCATGGACCGTGGGTGCAGATGCTGATTGCTGGTCTCGGTGTTGGCTCTTCAGCGGGCATCTACGTTGCGCTCAACCTTCTTGGAGCTGGTGGTGGGAAGCCGGACTCAGCGCAAGTAGTTCAGGTTGTAAATGCGACATTATGTGCAGGTACACGATCATTCACAATCTAAGAGGACGACGCATACTGATCATACCGCAGTTTGGTTCTTCTCGTCCTCTTTTGGCGGCTCAATCCTGAATAAGCTCGGGCCCGGTCTGACAATGTGCATTGGTGTCCAGACCTACGCTGTGTACGTTGGGTCTCTCTGGTATTACGATGAGACGGGTAAGACGGGCTACCCTTATGCCGCTGGCCCTATCATCGGCATTGGCGCAGGTATGGTCTTTATCACTGCGGGCTATGTTGCGACAGGATATCCGGAAGAAAGAGAAAAGGGGTCTTATGCGACCATCTTGATGAACATGCAAGCGCTCGGGTCCGTCATTAGTGGCATCATTCCGGTCATCATCAACAGAAAATCGGACACTGTTGCTGGCGTACCGCGATCAGTGTATATCGCCTTCATCACGATTATGGTCATCGGCGGTCTGCTATGTCTGGCTTTGCTTCGGCCACACAAGCTCACCAGAGATGATGGCTCTGTCGTTGCTGTTGATCGACCAAGAGGAGCTTGGGAGGAGTTGAGATCCAACCTGCGGGTCTTCACCGACCCTGTCCTTCTCATGATGTTACCCGCGTTCTTGCCAGCTGAGGGATTCTTGGTATACAGTGGATCGGTCAATGGTATGTCTTCGAGCACTCGTCAATATAACGCTCACACGTTCATAGCCTTCAATAACAACCTCCGCACCCGTTCACTGCTTTCGTTCATTGCTGTCGTTATGCAAATACCAGCAGGATGGATCTTGCAGTATGTTCTTGACTACCCTGGGTGGGGTCGTCGCAAGCGCGGACTCATCGGTCTGACTGGCGTGTGTATACCTCTAGTAATTGCGTGGGTTTGGGAAATGGTATGCCTCGAAGTCGATCACCCACCATTGCGTGCTAACATTATCTAGATTCGCACCCGTAACTATGATCGCAACAATCCGCCCACCAACCCTACAGACTGGGACGAGCTCAAATTCGGTTGGGTGTTTTTCCTTTTTATGCTAAACTGGGTCTTCTCACAGTTGTGGCACAACATAGTCTACTACTGGATTGGTGCCCTCACGAACTCCCCCCAGAAGCTCACACATTATGTCGGCGTCTTTCGCGGCGTGCTCGGCGCAGGAGAAGCAATCTGCTTCGGCCTCGACAGCATCAAAATCCCGTTCATCGCCGAGGCAGGCGGCATCTTGCTATTTTACTTGATGGGTATCGCGAGTTTCTACTACCTGGGATTCTATCACATGACAGACACCAATTACAATCGTGCCGAGGAGGGCGCGGTAGTACCAAACCATATCCTGGAGCAAGAAGGCATCACTTCAGGCCACGAAGTCGTTATTCGAGATCGAGAAGCGAAAGAGGGGTATGTTGCGGAAACCGAAAAGGACGGATCCAGTAGCGGAGAAAAGGTCTGAGTATTTGGTCCAGCACATCTTTTCCTTCTCGGAGTATTTCACTGCAGTACAAGTTGTAATAGGTCGCGTTGCGCACTCTAATGTTTAAACGAAGGTATCGCTTGTAGCGCTCACAGCAGCAAGACTGTTGACCCAATCGGTGCATGCATGCTTTTCCTGCGCTTTTGCTTTTTCACCGTTCAGGCTGGACCGTCCATCACCCGCGCTATGGGACCCCATGCGCATAGAAGTGTGGTATCATGCAGATCAGGCAGGCCATGGGAAGCAGAAACCTGTTCGTGAGTGCACGCATACGATGTAGGTGCGCTAGTAAGAAGCTATCGCTTGGGCCGTTGTTCCGATTCGCTCACTGTCCACCCACCCACGCGGAACTCTCGATTGTGTATACAAAGGTTTACACTCCATTAGAGTTTCCCCTTTATCCCCTGCATTCACTGAGCCTACAGCGACGCACCACCAGATGTAGGTGGTATAATCACTTCCACTGTATCGCGACGGGCCGCCCCTGGAGTTCTGCACGTATGCAGCGTAGGTATCGCTTGGTGATATGGGACGGGCGCGAACACGTGTTGGTGTAGTGAGGGGTGGGTGGGCTGGTAGGGGTCAAGATTCTGGCGCTGACATCACGAGCTAGGTACGAAGCTAACATGCGGGATGGGCGCGCCACGGAAGTATCTCTCAATTTGGCGCGGGAGCAAGGTGCTTGCGTCCGTGTTCGCATTCGGGCGTTTTTTGGCATGTTTCGACAAGTGGAGATTAACGGGTGTTAGTGAGCGGCTTTGTGCTCACTACTGTACTGTCCTGGCAGAGTCGAACCTTCAGGGTCTAGGGTCGTGAGTGCAAGGATCTGCAGGATTCTGCAGAGATCTGCAAGCCTCGGAGAAAACCTCGGGCTATGATGCCGAGGGGCAGAAGCATGCAACCGAAAACACTTCTTTAGAATTAAATCCGGTGCTGTAGGAGGTTTAGGATAGTAATGGAATGCTCAAAATCTTCCTCCGTCACCGCACAACTTCTCGCGCACTTTGGCGACTTTACACAACCAGCCTCTCCCGCAGTCTCCAGGCTCATCACTCTCATACTCACTCCCAGCCCACCACTCCTATAGGTCTAGTTGCTCGAATCTGACGAGCAATGTGCATGTGGTCTCGTGTCCGCCAAGATCCAGCATCCTAATGAAATTCCACCCAGGTGTAACGTACATCAGTCTCACCGCGGCAACGGCGAAGATGGGATTGCGAGAGAAACTGTCATCGCTCTTGATCAACAGGCGCAGGAATGTCAGTTCATTATCCTCATACTCCCACTGCAGGACGTCTTTCCAGATAGGATCGTTTGCGGGCGAGTTGTCCTTGTGCATGAAACCGGTCAATTTGTGGGGCTTGTAAGGAGCAGTCTTGCGCTTTGGTGGCAGGTTGTTCATGTCGTTAGGATGAACGAGTGTGCATGTCAGGTAAGGCTTGATGTCTTCATGTTCGCGGTCATTGGGTAGGGGAACGTCTGTAGCGCCAGCAACGTGCAAGCGAAGTTTCTTCCGGCGTCCGGTGCTGAGGTTACCCGAGCCACCAGCACGTAGCGCAGCTGGTTTGAGTACGTAGCCACCAGAGCCGGCAAAGAGCGCTTCGTTGATTTGTGAGCTTGCGCCAAAGGTTTGCCAATTGAGAGCGCAGATCTGGGCGCCAATACCCCAGAATGGTACCGGCGCAAGATTCTTCGAGGAAATGCGAGTTCCTTTGGGGTAGACGCGCATCAAATGGTGCGCATTGTGTCTTGCTATCTTGGCGCTATTGGCGGGAAGATGCGCTTTCAGACCTGACTCTGAGACGTTGATGAGTTGGTGATGTGGTGCGTTCTCAAGCTCCGCTTCGAACCAAGAGTTGTTGACAGGCTTGACTGATTGAGCATATACTCCTAGCTCGGCCAGTTCAGGGACAATAGTACCAGCATTAGCAGCCTTCTTTTTCGCATCATACTCTTGGCGAGCTTGCTTCTGTTCCTCTTCGTCCGAACTCGAATCACTGCTGCTACTCTCCTCTTCGTTCGGCAAATGGTACTCTACGATGACCGCAACTTTGTTTCCAAGCTCAGCGAGGGTGACATGCTCATGCTTGCTGGGGTCGTCTTGTTCGCGCGTGCCCTTGTCGCGGATGGCCTTGCTGAGGAGTCGGGGACCGAGGACTTCTTGCATGATCTGTGCGAGGCGAAGCTGCCCGTGCGCGTCGCAATGGTTCTCTAGGGAGATCATGATAGGTGCAGCGTTCTTTTCACTGGCAGCTTCTTTGTCAACGACATCGCGGATCGTCTCACATACTTGGCGGAAGGGTATGTTAGACACGAGCGTGAACCCGTGCGTGACCTTCGGCTCTTCCTTGTTGTCGTCGTTGTCCCAGGCGTCGATCTCGACGCAACGCGACCCAGTATGCAACGCGATTTCGTACGCAGAAGCATGCGATTCGCCAAAGAGTTGATGAGCCATCAGATATGTGTTATGAGATGAGCTGATGAAGTATTCGGGAAGTGGATGGTTCCTGTCGATAGCCTCTGGTGGGACGTTGATGTGACTCTTGTCGAGCAATTCTCGCAACGCCGTAGTCGGCTCTTCACTTTTCAATCCAGCCTCGGACTCCTGCAAAACACCTTCCTTGACTAGGAAGCTTTTGAGTGCTCCGCTGACACGTAGTTTGTCCTTGGTGATATGCGACTGCCTTGCGGCGTGACCGCCGCCCGCTACAGTTCCCGCGTCGACAAAATCGCCCTTCTCCTCATCATCGACTTCCTTCTTCGCGAAGGGATTGAGCTTCGAGATGCCTGATATTAGTTCGGCCATGGTACGGTATAGAGGGGGCAAGTTAGGTAAGGATGTGTATGAGCAACAGCCACAGGTTTGCGATCCAGCTGCTGGCGGGGTAGGTTGGCTTGGCTTACGCCTGCCCGGAAATGCGGAAAGTGTGGCTGGGGATTGATGACGCGTTGGACCGACCGTCTAGAAGGCGCGGCGCATCTTGGAAACCTGCTACATATCCTGTATCTTCTAAGTCTAATGTGTTCAACAATGTTTCTAGCTAGAAGTAGAGCTTCTAACCCTAAGTTTAATAGTTAGACTATTTTTACGCTAAAATTACCTCTAATATATAACTTAATATATAGCTTACTCTACTAAAGTTTACTAGTAGTCTTATATTATTACTAATAATTATAGTATAAAATATAGTATTATTACTAATACTTATATATAAAAATAATATATTATTATAGATATTATAGTACTATTTTTATATTATATATAATTTTTTTAATATTCTAAGCTATATTAAAATACTTTTAGCGTATTCTAGATATTATTTTTTATTTTTTCTATAAAATAATTACTTATAAATATTATCTTATATAATATATATATAATAATAATATTATTTATAAGCTTTTCTATAATTTTATATATATATAAAAAGACTATTAAATATTAAAATAATATAGTTTTTTTAAAGAGTAAAATTTATATATAAAAATATTAGATACTTATTTTAAATATAAATTTAATAGTCTTTAATATATAAAATTATAGTTTAAACTATTTTATTATTTAAAATATTATAGCACTAATATTTTAAAAGTATATTAATATTCTAAATATATAAACTTTTCTTAATATAGACTTAGTACTAATAAGTAATCTTTAGAAATAATTATAGTAATATTATTTATAATCTAACTATTTTTTACTATATTTTTAGTATTTATATTTTATAGTTAAGATTATCTTTAATATTTCTAATACTTTTTAGCTATTATTAGTATATATATACTTTTTAATCTTATTCTACTCTTACTATATACTATAAAGTTATTATACTTAATACTACTAAGCTACTTTTTTACTATATTAGTATTATTCTAGTTAATCTCTACTTTTTTTCTTTTAATTAGTACTAATAAAGGCTTTAATATAAGTATTTATAGCTATTCTCTAATATTTTAAATAATTTTACTATATTTATCTTATATACTATATATCTTATATACTTACTTTTAATCTAAGTCTTTTACTTTATCTATATATATTTATAATAATATAAATTAGTAAAAGTAATATAAAGTATTATCTTAGATATATCTTATACTAATAGTAGTTTTATTTATATATATTTTATATTTTAAAAGTAAAACTACTACTATATATAAAAGGCTATAAAGAAAAAAGTAGAAGCTAGCTCTTAATTATTATAAGCACTCTCTTTAGATTATTTTATATAGCTTTAAGATTATAAATTAGTAGCTTTATAATTAGTAAAGAGATCTAGATATCTTCTTACTAAATATTATAGTAATACCTCTAATATTAATAGTTTTTATATTAGGTTCTAGCTCTAAAAAGTCTAGGCTAACTTAGCATTAGCTATAAATACCTTAGAATTACTATTATAGCTTAGTAGTAATTTATTTCTAGTCTTTTTAGAATAATATACCTAATTATAGTTTAATATTATATATCTAGTATTTAACTAACTCTATTATTTAATATTTAAATTACTCTACTTTATAATACTTTTATATATACTATTTAAATATAATAAACTCTAAAGTAGGTTCTTTTAGCGTAATATAATATAGTAGTAAGTAAGCTATACTATTCTTACGCATAATAAATAATAACTAAAAGAAATTAGCTTCTATATCTCTAAAAGTAGTAATACTACTTACTAAGAAACTTATAAACTTATTAGAAGTTTCTTTAGGTATTACTAATCTAGCTTTAATTATTAGAGATAGTAATACGCTATTAAAGTCTATTTTAAAGCTAACTAAGCTCTTATAGGCTACTACTACTAAAAGTAAAGATAAATAAGCTATTTTAATTTATAAACTTAAAGAGTTATATAAGTAAGAATAATTAAAGTGTACTTATTAAGATATAGCTTATTTTAAAGAATTAAAGCGTAAAGTACTTATAGATAACTACTTAGCTTTTAAAGTAAATATTACTTACTATACTTTAACTA